AAAGAGATAGTAGTAATAGTATAGTACCCTGTGAGTACGTTTGTGTTTTCGCGTTTTTTTTCGTACGTACGGTAAATATATACACATGAGGAACTGCACCCAGCCAAAGGGCGAAAGACTGGGTTAAGACGCTCCAAGGTATTCTCTACTTCTGTTTGACTCGGCGCGCGCGCGCGAGCCGAGATGCAGTCATCGTCGTCTTTGGGGTTCACCGGAGACACACTGCACGCGCGCTTTGCATACATCTCTATATAGTATAGTTCATTTCCACTCAACGCCCGAACAACAAACGTCAACGAATAAAAAAAGCAAAAGCAAGAAAAAATCCGTGCCCTTTCGTGTATTTTTCCCCCGTTTCTTTCTTCTTTTCCTTTTTCTCGCGCGCTCTATATGTGTGTACACCGTATACTTACGACTCTCCATGGCATGGTGGCGGCACGGCGCGGCGCAGCAGCACACACAGGTGTACACAGTGTACTTGCATTTTTCTTTCATCCCCCATTCTCAGTGTGTATATATACAACAGAGAGCGAGAGAGAGGTTGAAGGGTCGCACCGCTAATTGGATACTCATATACATGCACACACACATACACATACACACTTGTATATATACGCGACAAATAACATACAAATGTATGTAGCATGTGCGCTCGGTGCTTTAAAATTTGCCCCTTTTGCCTCCTCGTCGTTCTAATTGCAGAAAAGTCCATGGGGGATTGCGTTCATATGCGCTTGTATACGTACCTAACCGCGGCGTACTGCTGCTTAATTGTAAACAACTCGCCTAATATTCGCGAGACTTTATCACGTTCGGGTAAACGCGTACACGGGTAAGAGAGAAAGAGAAATAGAGGGATAAAGAATGAAATTATTATCTTTCCCCATGATAATACGTAAAGCTCGCGAAATCCGCAATTGCACACACTCGGATGATCCGGTTACGTAAGAACTTTGGCTTCGATATATCGTTCAGTACTAGTCAATCAAGATTCGCTTCGCCCACCCCCGCGCACACGGTGGCGGCTCTTTCTTGTAAATTATCCGCTTTCGCCGTTGATACATACACACACCGGGGAGGGTGGTTATTATTCCTCGCATGTGCACATGATGCAGCAGCCTATACCGTACTATATACCCTTGCGCGCGCGCGCGTGTCGCGTTATAGGCATATACACATCGCATGCCACAAATTACATGCATTCACTTGTGCAAAAGTGTGTGTATACCTCTACCTGTATGCGAGAGAGTTAGTTGCAGGGGATTTTAGCTCGTGGCACGCGCGCACGCGTGGCTGGAAGCTTTAATGCGCGAGCGAGCGAGCGAGCGATTTCTTATACCCAAAGCCCCGCACGCCATAGTAGGTATTATAGCGCGCGCCGGCGATATATATAACGATCATTACGAACACTTTGAGCCCATAGAGAGAGAGAGAGAGAGAGAGAGAGAGAGAGAGAGAGAGAGAGAGAGAGAGAAGCTATTATAGTATATACCACCTTACACGACGTTTTATCCCGAGAGCGAAGCATATGTTTATACGCTGCCGCCGCGCCAAGAGCGAGAGCTGTCTTTTCCGACTATGCGGAAACTATATCTCCCTCCACTCTACCTACTACTACACATGAACTGAGGCGAAGCTTGGAAGGGGGTAAAGCTTTCACTATTACACGCAATACGAGCCTCACGAGCTTGCACAAGTGAGCTTGCGAGCCGAGCATGTGTAATAGCTCGTGTTAAGGTTGAGCAACGCGCGCGCGGCATTTTCTCTCCGTTTTTTTTCTGCTTTACTTTTTTTTCTCATACCTCGCACGCTCGATGAGCAGCAGCGGAGTGAACGATTATTTCCCAACGTTTTCATTTATAAATAAAAAGGCGAAAAATATCCGCGAGGGGGAAAGATGTTGAATTTTCGGGAATTTTTGGACGGATTCCAACGAGTCGATTCGATATATTCGTGTGTACGTAATCATCGGTATAAACTCGGCGCGCGTGATATATCACATACACGAAGCAAAAAATTATTATTTTACAATTTTTTGATTAATCATCCGCGTGCAGCGAGTAGAGAAAATATACAAATTCTGCGCGGCTGCACGTCGAGCTGAACTTTCTCCTTCGGTCGCTCGCAAGCTCACTACCATCATTTTTTATCTCCTCGATGCTAGATGTACTTAGGAGCTTTCAAAGCCGCGCACCACCACCACTACTACTGGAGAAGGATTTTACTTGGGTCGGAATATTCTTTCGAACTGCTTCTCTCTTTCACTTGGCTAACTATGCGTAGTTACGACTGATAGAGACAGACCGAGCGAGTGAGTGAGTGAAATGGAAATAAATAAGTATGGCAAAGTAAGAAGGATGATGCAGAAAAAAAGGCGGTCGAAAGTAAGAAGTTATTACTGCGCGCGCCGCGCTGTGGAGTCGCAGTAAGAGAAAAAAGGAAGGGGCGCGCCACGAAGAGTAGTAACCCGCGAGATTTCTAAAGCGATATCCGAGCTCGATTGATCGTGAGAAATTGCTCCGCGAAGTACTGCTACGCTCTTCCTTTTCGCGAGGATCAAAGTTCCCTTATTCTCTCTTCTCGCTCGATGTGTAAGCGAGAGAAGACCGATACAATGTATAAGTCTCCATATATAGATGCTGGTAAAAAGCTCGCGAATCGTTGACGAGATATATTGATATTAATTTTTTTCTTCTTTATTCTTCTCTCTCCATCTCCTACTCGTCGATCGATTTGGCCGATTACCCGTTCTCATTGCTCTTAAATAAAATAATTCCTTGTAAAATCGTGTATTATATACTCTTTTGAGGAACTCTTCTTCCCTTCGCAAGCTCGTCGAACTATTATTTCAAAGCCTCGAGTCTCAACTCGACAAACTTTCGGGTGCAGAAAGGTTCTCTCTCTTCTGCGTTTATACATTTTATGATTTCGAGTTCATTTATATAGACTGTTGATAGTGGGCAATGCTGGTCTTCCTCCTCAGCGCTCGTATTTAAGCTCGCGCTCGTGCAGCAGCAGCAGCGAGATCCTTTGCGCGAGAAACGCGCTAGCGATAGCTCGTGCGCGAGAGAGACATTGAAAAGTCGTTAAATCACACTTAATGAAGCTCAAGTAGCGTATAAAGAAGTTTCCTCTCTCTTGTGTCACGGAAAGGGGATGCGCTTATACTCTCTGTCTCTCTGCTTGGAAAGCAGCTGCGTCAAACTGTAGTCTACGCGCTGATGAATATATGGTATTCATCCAAATATGCATTGATTAAGAAGCGCAGCGCAAAGTAAAACACTTACTTGCAAGCATACACGCATAGCCGAGCTTTGTCGTACAGATTTATAAATATAAATCGCACTCGAGAAATTGGCTTTGTCTATATTCTCTCTTATGTTGCAGAGCTTGCGAAAATTTCGCAATCCCCCTTCTCCCGCGTATACGTACACGTATTATGCAATAACATCGCGTGCGCGCATACGCTCGCGCGTAAAATCGTATTTATATATACATATATGTGTGTATTATTATATATAGCTTGTAATACGAAACAGCTGTGTGAGCTGTACAGCGCAGCGCAGCTCTTGTTATATACGCGATTTAATACTTCTATAACTCGTTCAACAACTTATATTTCGTATATAAAGTTTAAATTTTAACCCGAGCTTTTCTCGCAAGCTCGCGCGTAGTATACTACGGGCGTAAAAAAACTCGATTACCTAAATTCGAATGAGGGAGATAGAGAGAGAGAGAGAGAGAGAGAGTGGGAGCTGTGTAGATGTATACTTTTGTAATACGCGAGAGGAGAGGAGCTCGTACTTGTAAGCGAATCAATTCGATTTGCGCGCAAAAGTGGGTGAAAATTTTGCGCTTATGAATAAAGTTTTTCCGAGCCAATGAAAGTTTCTGTGCGCGGGCGCGCGAATCTTTATACTGAGTGCGCGCAGAGTAGTTTTGTCAATGGCCCGGGAGAGATAGCGCGCAAGCGGAGGTAGGGCTCTTGTAAGCGAAATTGATTTTGCTAGCTCGAAGCAGCGCAGTAGCGTCTTACCAGCCTCAGACTTGTATTCGAAGAAGAGCTAATTTAAAAGCTATAATTCATATCTCGTTCATTCGTCATCTTCCTGGATAATACATGGACAAATCGTTGAATGGAAAGCGCGGGAGGGATAAAAAATGAACGAGCTGTAACTAATCATTATATAACGTCGGTGAAGTAAACATAACGGCTATACATATATCACAGAGGGTACTTTGAAACATTAAAGTCTTCATGTGTCAGAGCAGCTATTATTTGGATGTTTTGTCGAAAAGTTTTGTAGCGGCGTCGGCGGTGGCTGCACGGCTGACTACCGAGTAAAAAAGCTGCGCAAGCTCGCGCGCGCGCGTGAGTCGAAAAAAAAGGCAGCGCCGCACACAAGCTGTAACGGAGCACGATCTCCCCCTCCCTTTTTCTTCTGGCGAAAAAGAGAAAGTCCTATTAATCATGTCGACGAAATGTATTATAAGCGGAGGCAAGAAAAATTGTTATCCGAGAGTGGCACTGAAAGGAACAAGAATGAGACAAGACTCGCGCGCGCTACTCGCGAGTGAGAGAGAGCGCGAGCGGAATATAGCTAGCGGAAAAGTTGAAAGCGATATAAGATGAAAGCACTACTGGCTGCTACTGCTGGCGCTGCGAGTTTTCGCGACTTGCGTATTGTTTTTATCATTTTCCGCTCTGCTTTCATCTAGCTCTCTCATGACTTTTTTCTTTGATCTTTCCGATTGTTTGTTTACCTTTATAGAGGATGTAAGTCGTAATATTTCTGCCATGCCTCTCTCTCTCTCTTTTTCCTATACACACTTTTCAATAAGTTTTATTACTTTTTTACTCGACTCATCCTCGATTGTGCAATATGCAGCAATACTCGCGAGTATCTATCTACCTATACATACATAACTATACTATGGTAACTTTTGTCTATAAAAGTAACGTAATTGACTTTTTTACAATCCCTGCCCTTTTGTTACAGGCTGCTGACGTTCAGCTATCTGACCGCCCTGAACTGCTGGCTGGTGCTCTGTCCGACGACTCTGTCGCACGACTGGCAGATGGGTTCCGTTCCTTTGGTCACCTCACTGGCCGACAGCAGAAATCTGGCGACGTGCCTTTTCTTCGGTGGCTGTCTCGTTCTCACCTACAGGGCGTTTGCCGATTTTGAGGTAAGCGAATAATAACGATAACAATGATAACGATGATAATGCATTACATCGTATGGCATCGTATCTGTATAGATAACTAGAGGGGCTTGTAAACGAGGGAAGCTATACATACGCTCGCGCGCGCTATTTCCAAAATATAAAGCAATACTTGGGATGTACACACAGGTATATAACATAGAGCAGCAGCAGCAGCAGCAGCAGCAGCAGCAGCATCGAGGGCTTAAAGTTCAAGAGAGCTTTTGGCGGGGGGTGGAGGCGATGCGATGGTTTCGCTTGAAGTTTCCTCGAGACCATCGATTGCACTGCACCGCTCTTGTAACTACCATCTCTTTCTCTTTGCTGCTGCTGCTGCTGCGCGCATATACATACAACGCAACGACCATCCAATAGACCACCACCGCTGCACCGCCGCCCGCCACTGTTCTCTCTAAACCACACACTTCACTTCGACTATACAGTATACACTCGACCGTAGTGGATGTTTGCTCGCTCGATTCAGCGCGGTGGTATATTAGAATTCATAACTGCCGCGCGCGCGCGCGCGACTCGCAAACGTCTTCGTGTTTCTGATACACGCACTTTGTTCGATTTTTTTCATATTTTTACCTTGGTTCGTTCCAAATAGAATAAAATATCCATTTCCATTTTCCGTTAATCGATAATTGCTATAATTTCTAATTGAGATAATTATTTCAAATGACGATAAATCAGAAGTAATATTTTGCAATATCCTTTAAAAATGATCGAATACACTCGAAAACTCAATCAATGGTTCGAACATAATTTAAAGGGGAGAAAAAATATTCGTTATTTTTGAAGAATTTTCGAATTTTTTGATTTTTTTTCAAAGCTCGTACACTTTTGCGAGAAAGTTAGTCTGTATATATCTTTGTAGAAATCTGTTTGTCTTAAAGAGTGAAGCAGAAAGGAAAGAGGAATCCAGCATTAGTAATAGTGGTAGCAGTAGTAGCACTGCATAATACGTATAAATGTGCAAGCTGCAAAACGTCAGCGTGGTTGTACACGAAGCTAAGAGATATATGTAGCGTAATATATATGTTACTGGCAAAACCCGCTTTTAGGCAAAAGTGACTTTTGCCTAGGCAAAAACAAAAATGCCTAAAATTTTAGGCAAAACCCGCAATGCCTAAGCAATTTTAGGCAAAACCCGCAATGCCTAAATAATTTTAGGTATTACTGTAAACACGTTAGTATACGACTAGTCAGCATCTAAGCCGGACGTATTTGTTAGTTTTGTTTTGGTTCTAACCCAGTACGGATACAAGCTCATACTCTCACTAGTTGAAAGAAAAAATGGAAACTGAAACCAATGATTGGAAAGAGCAGTTCCTCGCCGAGGCTCGAAAAAAAGAGCATTATAAAGTTCTTTCAATGGCAGAGATAGAAGAAATTATTTAAGACATGCAACAGTTTTGCAGGTAAAACGTACTACGTCCGTCCGTAATTGCTTCATTTCATTAACTTTTTTTTTATTCGTAGATCTGAATTCGATGTGTGCCGAAAAAATTTTTTGGCTACATCTGAAGTACCACTACAAGAAATTTTATCCTTGCGTACGATTGCGAATAAGCAATCTACGGGTGGAGGACAAGGCTTCTTCAAATGTACTTGCAAAACCGCTTGCAAGAAAAAGATATGCATGTGCCGAAAAAATAACGTTTTATGCAGTTCCAAATGCCACAATAGTTTAAGTTGCTGTAACAAATAATAACAAATTATTGAACTGATTTGACAAAACTTAACTAAAGGGAGCTTGTACTTTTGTACTTGAATAAATGCGTATTTTTTCACTTTACATTAATTTTTTACTTAAAATTATTAGCTTACAGTAATGCCTAAAATTGTTTAGGCATTGCGGGTTTTGCCTAAAATTTTAGGCATTTTTGTTTTTGCCTAGGCAAAAGTCACTTTTGCCTAACAGCGGGTTTTGCCGGTAACATATATATATATACCTACCGGCTGTGTAAAAGCACTACGCGAGAAATTCAGGGAAATTCAAAGAGTTAGAGGTTCATGCATACAATGAGAAAAGATTCGCAACTATTAAAGTTTTCCCTCTGATCAATGTGCCACTCGCGTGGGGTTCGAGCTGTTTGTTCGTAATCGTAGATGAAAAAATTTTTGTGTGCTGGTACACACTCGGTGGGCTTAACAATTGACATCCGGCTGCAATTTGGAGTGTCACCGATTCCCTACTACACATATATGTGGCCACGAGCGGCACGTTTATATCCGAATCGAAACGCAAAAAACTATTTGGCACGATTTCGTTAAAAGCGCACCCACAAACACACACACACACACACACACACACACACACACACAAACACTCGCACGTAGTTATACGTCTATGATATATCAACGAGCGCGCGCGCCCGAATGTGAATGGCAATTATCCGCGCATCCAATCTCACACACGCACGCACTGCATATCTCGAGCTCTTCTGCTCCGCTGAAATTTCTAATTACAACGCGCCAACCATGATACATTTCGACATTCTCCGGTCATGCGAGCGGGCGCGCGTTTACATAAACCCGAGGGAATGAGCGAGGGAACGGGTGTGAGGGTCGGTTTCAAAACCCTCCACCCCCGCGCGTATACGTATAGAGCAATTCTAACGCGTGCCTTCGCCTGCACAACTACGGGGATGAATTTTTTCACGTACATAACCGTGTTCGACGGGCAGTATCGCATGCACGCACACGGGGCCAGTTTTGCGCCACATGGGCGTTTCTGACGCGCAGGAATTTTCATTAATGAATTAACGGGATCGAAGGAATATCAAAAGTTTGCTCTCTCTCTGTGCGGTACGTATCGACGCGTGCTTCAAGTTTTCTTTTTTCATAGTTACGTAAGTATGCGGATACGTGTGTTCGTGTGCTCGTGGACCTATTTCAACGCCCTGGGCGTCAGCTACATATTATATGTATATCCAATTTCTAATTATATAATTTTAAAATTTTGTCATTGCATTTAAATAAATGATATTGAATTGCCAATTCATTTTAATAAATGGCATAGAATATCCAAAAAATATTTTTAAAAAGTGTCGGAAAAAATCTACCCATAGCGATATTTCACGAGCGGGATACAAAATTGAAAATAATACGTTTGCTAATACTTGCTACATTGATGTCGCTTTAAAGCGAGATCATTCTTGCAAGTGAAGAAACACATCATCCACATTTTATAAGTACCAATTCTACGGATCGCTACATATTCAGTGATGATCTTATTTTCAAAAGTCCATAACTTTTTTTAGAATAGAATATCCATTTCCATTATCCGTTAATCGATAATTGCATTATTTTCCGATACGAGAATTATTTCAAATGACGAGAAATCAGAAATAAAACTTTCTCAATACCCTTTGAAAAAGATCGAATATACTCGACAGCTCCATCGAGTTACACTAAGCCAAACAATGCCCAAAGATAATTTAAAGTGAAAAAAAATATGTTCGATATATTTCTGTTTTCGAATTTTTTCGAAATTGATTCATTATTGAAATAAAACTATCCTGGTAAATAGCAATTCCATAAATGCAATTTCATAAATTAGCTGCCTTTCGGTGATTTTTTTTATACAATTATGACAGGAGTATGAAGCGCATTTTAAATGATCTAAAAATGACAATTTATCTATTTCAAAAAATTCAAATCACTTTTCAACCTACGGACACGATAATACAGGCAAACCTCCGTATTCGCGGTTTCCTTATTCGCGATTTTTCGTATTCGCGGTTCGCTCATTTGTTACCTAACTTCAGTATTCGCGGATTTTATTTTCCGTATTCGCGGTTTTGAAGGTTAATTATTTTCGCGTGCGTATTATTTTCGGAAAATTTTTTTTAATTCTTTCAAAAAATGGCTCCACAATCGCGAAATGTGCCTGAGAAGAAACGTAATAAAAAAGTATTCAATTTGGCCGAAAAAATCAAAATCCTGGATGCATTGGCATCTGGCGAAATGAAATCGAGAGTATAGTGCAAAATTCAGCAGATGAGGAAATGGTTGAAGATGAAGATCCAGAATCCGTACTTACTTCCAAAGTGATCGGGGATATTTTAGCAGACGCAGAACGTCTCATTGAAAAAGCATTAACTTATGATCCTATCATGACTCGGAGCCTTCAGTTTAAACAAGATATTGAAAAATCATTGCAGTGCTATAAGAATTTGTACAAAGATTTATTATTAAAATTTTGGCTGAGCAAGGAACCGAACCCCCTTTTCCCATAAGAGCAATGTTTCCGTATTCGCGGTTTCCGTATTCGCGGTACTTTTTTGGAACCGAACCCCGGCGAATACGGAGGATTGCCTGTACTGCTTTAAGCTTTTGCCACTGTAGATGGCGAGTACCCTAATCTGTAAATCTGCTAGTGTCAAAATGAAAATATTTGTATTAAAGAACCATTTGATTACTAATTTTTTTTTAAATCATTTTCCGTACAAGTAACTACATTAACCATACAATATTAATAAAAGTCAGATTAAAAATTTCATTTTAATTGGCGTTTTATATTTGGAATGTAGAAAATTAAAAATATCTAGTGAAAGTAGTTCAAATGAAAATTTTCACTAATTTTATACCGTCCATAATTTAACTAATTTGGCCATTAAATATCAAAATAAACCACTTAAAATCCATTTTGAGCCTTTCAATAGTCTGAACATACATTTGAATTGTCAGCAGTATCAGGTGTTTAACTTATTGATGAATTTATCGGATTTACAGCAACAAAGACATCAACCACTGATCCTCGGTTGGATGTTCCTCGTACTGCCGTTCTTGCCCGCCTCGAATTTACTCATAACCGTGGGTTTCGTCGTAGCGGAACGAGTACTCTACATACCCAGGTTGGTGGCAAATACATTCGTTAAATTCAGAAAATTTCAGTGCTCAATCAATCAAACTCACCATTTCATCTCTTTCTCCATAAAATAGTATCGGCTGGATCCTGCTGATCGCTTACGGGGCTCAGCACACGTGGCAGACGGTGCCGCGTCGCCGAGGCCTCGTCGTCGCCGGCATGGGTCTGCTGCTCGTGGCCGGCTGCTGTCGCACGATGCTGCGCAATCGCGACTGGTCGTCGAGGGAGACGCTGCTGCGTGCGGGCCTCCGATCGCTGCCTGACAACGCCAAGATGCACTACAACTTCGCCAACTTTTTGCGCGACACGTCTCAAGCGAATCGAGCGATTCTGCACTATCAGCTGGCCCTTTGGTGAGTAATGAAAATGAGAAAAAATTAAAAATAATGATTGTCAATCGGTCGTGGTTGAAGCTGACAGGCGCACATTCCAGAGCAATCGTAATGCTTACAAAGCGATTTCAATTTTCCAGTGAAAAGCACAAATACGCAAAGCGTTTCACCCTACGCACGCTTATAACCGAAGCTCGTTCCTCATATTGCGCGCTACCTCATCATCGTTTCTCGTGTATGGTGTGGCGAGAGAGAGTAGCTCACGTTTTATTGACTTTTATATGTACGTTGCGTAATCTTCGTGGAAATCGCTCAAACGATATAACTCGTCCCCGAAAAAATCGAAATATATATTCTTGACCGACTTTGCTCGTGTATACGTTGCTGTACGATCAGCGCGGTAACTGCATATTTTCTGAATTTTCACTGCGGTACCACCCGTGAGAGGAGCGTGCATCGATTGATGTTGCCAAGTTTGTACTTGCCCTCAATCAGCCCCGTGTATTTTTTCAATGAACTTTTGACTTTTTGAAGCAGCGCTGGTGGTGTGGTGCAAATATTTTGTTCACGTGCAGGAGAGATGGGAGCCGTGAAAAAAAAATTGGCCGCCGCTGTCCTATGGTCGAAGCTGTACGTTGTGGGGTGACTCCAGCGTGCGTAGAGAAATATTTGAAAAAAAATAAATGAAAAAAGCTATGAGCACCGAAGGATGAAGGGATATACAGAAAGACAGCGAAATAAAAGAAAATAAAAAAGAGGATCGTGGAAAAAAAAGACCGAAGCTGCTGAAAAAAGTGCGGCGAGTAAAGTGTGCGGCGGTATGTACATGGAAAGAGAGAGAGAGAGAGAGAGAGAGAGAGGTATATAACGCGCTAGCGGTTGGCCGTTTCGTGCGCGCAATTCGGCCGCAGGCACGTGACGCGTCTCGGCTCGCTCCTTCAGCTCACGCAGCAGCAGCAGTTGATATATAATAACAATCATAATGTTAATAATATCTCAAGGGACTGCGAAAAATTTTCTCCGCGCTGTTCATAAGACGCGAGCGATTTTTTCTGCAAACACATGTTCGCAGCGGCAGCAGCAGTCGTAGCAGTGGAGATCATGACAATGATGGTGGTGGTGGAGGATACAAAATGAAACACTTTTAGTTTGCTTTTTATATGCTAGTTCATTCTAGTTCATCCTGAGCAGTAACATGGACAGATTATTGTGTTGAAATTTCAGGGTATTAGTTTTTTCTTAATCATTCCCGCCGCGATTTTTTCGTGTTTTTTTGAAATAATTTTAGCAGACGACACTGGGTGGAAAAAAATTGTAAAAAAATTTTTTGATGTAGTATAAGGTCAATAAAGTATGCATAAAAAATTTTATTAGGATACGTCATTTTATTATATTAAAAAAAAATCTTTGAAAAAACATTTTTTTCTTCAAATTGGAGAAGGGAGGTCCCCTTAAAGTAGTGTTGTCGTATTAAAATATCTGATCTACATTTTTTGAAATAATCTATTTGTTATTTTTAGATAATTTAAATTTAATTGCGTTTAATATTTTTAACATAACGGTAAAAGAAAAATTGTCAAAAAACCAGCCAATGATCAAGCAACTTGAAAAATTTTCAATGACAAAGATAAGTAGACACTATTGAAGGATATGCACAAATACTTGAAAATCAAACCCGAACTCGTTAAAATTCAGTTGCTTCAGTTGACTAAATGCCTCAAAAATTAAATACCTTTAATAATAGTGCAAACAACAAGAGTTTGCCAGAAATAACTCAACTTTTCGTAAACGTTTCCTTTGAAATTTTTCCGCAGTAACAATGCGCACCACAAATTCAAGGAGCTATCGATACGCGTGCTCGTTGCATACTCGATAAACATTTCGAAAACAATAACACTCGAAAACGTGGTCACATTATAAACAAGCCCTCGCAGAGCTGCAGCCCTTGGAGAAAGTCGTAATCTCAAAATACTTGGTCGAGTTTCGCTCGTGCGCACGGCATACATATTGAACAAAGAGAATAGTTATGAAGTAGCGCAACAACGCGAGTTGGAGGGAAAGAGAGAAAGAGAGAGAGAAAGACAAAGTTCGAGTAGTATAGCTAGCATTATATAGTATATAGTGACCTTAGCAGCGGCAGTAGCACATGGATAAACGCGCGAAAGCTCTCCGAGCTTTCCCTGGCCTAGCGCATATAATGGAGCGCACTGAGAGCTGAGGCAGGAGGTCAGACGCATTTAGCGCTCAGGAATTCGAGATGGCATTTGACTGCGACAAAGTGGATCTCTCTCGGCTGCACGGCTGCCGCCGAGTCGCTTTAGAATCGCATATTATACATACATACGCACGCACACACATACTTTTGCTGCTGCTGCTGCTGCCTCGAGAAAGTGTCACGCGCGGCGGACTTTACTCGCTGGCCTAGGATAAAATGTATGAACTTATACGCCAGAGGATATATTTTATAACATAAAAGCGGGACATTCGTTTCTCGACTCTATATAAACTCTACGGTCAGTTTATACAGCTCTGTATAACAAATATCAACTTGGCGACTCGTCGGATAAAATTATAAAAAAGTACCCGGATAATCAGTCATTTCGCTCGCTGAAAGTTTTAGTGCTTTCACAGTGGGCATGTACTCACGTTTTATAACACAACTACACTAAAGAATTTTGAATTCGAGAATATTATCATATTAGCAAATATTCAGATATATTTTTAAATACGTGAAAATTTCAAAATGTTATCATGATCGGGAATACTCGAGAATTTTGTTAATACCGTGAATAATAGAAAATATGTTTATAATAAACGTCAATATTTTTATAATCGCGTGTATACGCAAAAATCGAAAATATTTTGATATTTGAATATAACACGATGTATAAAACAACCACTTAAAAGCCCTTTGAATTCAAAAATATTTCCATATTAGAAAATATTTTGATGTATGTTCATTATCAGAAATTTTTTCATATCCGCGTTTATTCGAAACAATGTTTGAAAACAAAAATATGTTTATACTTGAGTATATGAGCGAAAAGCGAGGATATTTTTATATTCGAGTATATGTGTGATAACACAATCACTCGAAAGTACATTGAATTCAAGAATATCATCATATTAGCGAATATTCAGATACATTTTTTATATACGCTATTATTTGTATGTCCGTGAACATTTTAAAGTGTTAACATGCTCGAGAATACTCGAGAATTGTGATAATTCTGTGAATAATCGGAAATATGTTTGTAAACATGAATATTTTTATATTCCAGTATGGCCGCAAAAATCGAAAATATTTTAATATTTCAGTGTACGTGTATGACACAACCACAAGAAAGTACTTTGAATTCAAGAATATTTCCATAATAGGAAATATTTAGATATATGCTTATTATCAGAAATTTTTTCATAGCCACGGTTATTCGAAAAAATTTTTGGAAACAAAAATATGTTTATCCACAAGTATATGAGCGAAAAGCGAGAAAATTTTTATATTGGTGTATATGTAGAAATTCGATAATTTTTTTCATATCTGTGAATTTTTGAAAACATTTTAAAATTCTAAAATAACTTTACTTCTGCGAATATTTTAAATTATTTTCATACTTGGGGATACTCGAGAATTGTTTTACTTCCGCGAATATTCGATGATACTTTTCAATGCAAGAATAATTTCACATACGAGTTCATGACAAAAGAATTGAGAATATTTTCATATTCGATTATATACGAAAAAATCGAAAACATTTTCATATTTTGGTATATGCGAGAATATTTTCGTATTCGAGATTATTCGAGATAATCGAAAATATTTTCACATACCCGTATATACTCGTATATACGCGGTCACGCGCGTCTACTCGTATATACGCGTATATACGCGGTCACGCGCGTCTACTCGTATAT